TTTCATTCCTAATTCTAGGAAGATAGGTTAACACAAATTCATGAATAAAATGTCAAGTAATCTTATCATTGATGCACTTTTATTTAATTTAATGCAGTCATATTGTGAACATTTCAGCTCATTAGGACAGTGGGGATGACCTCTAGGGGTCCATAACATTTATACCATTAAATTTACATAATATAATAACACAAGAAACAAAATTATATATAGTCAAATGGAAAAAGGTTCCTACTATTTAGGAGTCACATGATCATTTGTCATTACAGGGACAGGGAAGTGGATTGGGAGATCGCCCACTCAACACCCCACCCCCCACCCCCCGGAATTTGCAGGACTAAAATATAAACTGGAGGAAATAAAAATGACTTTGGATGCCATAAGTGTCCCTCAACCCTAGAAAACAGACCCAACCATAACTTCTTTTTTTTTTTTTTTTTTTTGCTTTTCAGGAAATTCTGGTCTGAACCCCCCCCCCTCCCTCCCTCCCAGAAAAAAAAAATTCTGGATCTTGTACATAACTGAATGTAACGTTGATAACGGGGGATAACTCTTCAGAATGTGAAATTCGTCTATTGTAGCATTGGATGACCTTTGATCCTTTAAACTTGAACCTAACCGTTTGCATTTCATACTATTTTACCCAAATCTATACCAAAACTTGTACTTACCGATTGTCATTGTTTAGGCACTGTCATCTTCATGAAAAATAATCCAGTTAAAACACAAAATGAAATAATTCCTTCTGACATATATGCAATGATGCACACTAGTAGCCTACTGCACGTGCAGTGAAATCTAAAATGATAATGCCATTGGTAAAACTAGTACTTAAGTTGGGTACGTGACGCAAGCCCAATGTGATGCAGGTGTTCAGATACATGTATAGTGCAAGAACAAATTGAAAATTATCATTTACAAAAGATGTTTTATTTTAACTTTGCCATCTAGGCCTATTTCCAAAAACAGGCAAATAAGGTGTGTTTGTGTGTGTGTGTGTTGATGGAAGAGGGGTGGGGGTTGACTAAATTGATTGTGTATATATGGCAGCTTTTAATATAAATAAAATTTTCACATTTTGAAAAATTCATCAAAAACGCTTTACACTAATTTGAATTATATTATTTGTTGTTAATCTATACAGCTGCTATATGAGAAAATAGATTTCAAAAGTTCCAATTATGTGCAGTGGCGGAGGATTTAAGGGGGGGGGGGGGCGCACCCGGCGCGCCCCCCCCCCCTAAAATCGTCAAAGTTAACGTAAATCACAGTTTCGTCTAAAAATTGTATATATGTTTACTTGGTAGACCTCATTTTAACCCTACAAAATCTCTAGAATCCAGGAGCTTCCGGGGCTTCGCCCCCTGGGCCCCCACCAGGGCTTTGCCCTGGACCCACTGGGGGCCTCAAGGCGGCCCCCAGTCCCCTTGCCTATTTTTGGCGCCCCCACTAACTTCAAATCCTGGATCCGCGCCTGATGTGCCAAAAATTAATACCCCCCCCCCCCCCCCTAATCTGTATATTTTATCCATCTCCAATCCTTTTATAGTCGTCTCTACACGTGATCAACTCGCTTGATTGAAATTATTTGTTAGATTGCGGAAAATTCACATCAAGCGAGTTTATTGCCTGTAGAGATGACAATAAATGGCTGAGAGGTGGACAAAATATACATTTTGACTACAGAATGTGTCTAAAATTAGGGAATGAAAGGTAGTTGATTGACCAATGCTAGATAGTGGAGAAATTCTGCCCAAAAGTGCACAAAAAATATTGCGCCGTAAATTGCACATTTTTTGCATATGGGGATCTGTAGCGTTATGGTCAAAGACAAATATATAAAACCATAACGCTACATGGTCACCTGAGCATATTATGCTCAATTTGAAGAATACATGTATTATGTAAATTATTGAATTATATTGACTTTTTCCTTGGTAAAGCCCAATATGAAGAAGTGTGCATTTAGAGGCAAACACCTTAGTGCGGGTATTACTGTCTCATGACAGCATCTAGTTTTTATCTATGAATACCAATATGCAGACCGATACATAATTAAGCGTTCTTCAATTTAAAGAATACCTTAATTATTATTGATATACCTTACCCGTCCGTCTGTTACGCTTTGGGATACCTATCTCTAAACCGCAACTCCTCAATTTCCACTGACTGAAATTTAATGAAACTTTCACAGAATCTGTTTTACATACTGCCATTGTGCACCTCCTATTTCACTTTTTGATCCGACACGTATTTTAGGTTTCCCATAGCAAAACATGGACATTGTCATTATATTCTTATCTATGGCGTTAGATATGGCGGCTTCTTAATAACATTAGATACCAACGAGTTATTCCTCTTGACACGTTACCGTACAACAATTAATAGCAAAACATGGACATAATGGGAGGCGGGGGTATCATTTAGTGAGCTCATTGCTCACAGTACCTCTAGTTTTAAACTTCTGCACGTCGTTCTCTAGTCCATCAGTCAGATTATTTATGTGTAATACGTACATGAACTATGTTACCTGTTTGGCTTTATCATCTGCAGAATTTTTATCTTGTTCTGTGAAGATATATTTTTTCTTCTTGGGACTCGGCTTTGGTGGAGGGTAACCAGCTATAATGTCCTCTAAATCATCCTAAAAGAAACTAGAGGTACTGTGATCAATGAGCTCAACCCCCGCGATCCTTAATACAGAGAATACCCATGAATTCCGGAATACAATACCAAAACAAATGTTATACGTAACATTTTAGGGACATTACTTAGATCTTGAATACTGTACCTTATCTCAACATATTTCATATATTGTATTGATTACTTGATTTTTTAATTGTAAACAAAACAATGTAGGAAAAAAATAATTTTCCCTCGAGAGGGACGTAAAACAAAATACAATCAATCACTCAGTTAAATTTATTCACATTCACTGATGACAGTAATAATGGAAACGACGTCTTTCTGAGGGGTCTTATATTGCTTTTGTTTTTTTAATTTTTTGGTTTAACGTCCCTTTCCAGAATCAAGAATTTTTCAAACATACTGAGACACCATCATTCATAAGTGGATAACTGCACATCATATAGCTTTATTCAGCACATACGGCCTTTTAGCAGTGAGAGAGAGAGAGAGAGAGAGAGAGAGAGAGAGAGAATCTTTTTAATGTCAGCACCTACTGCGACATATGCATGTACATGTAGAACTTTGAACCCGCGATGAAAGGATGAACTCCTTACGTTGCAACTCAGAATTTTCCTCTAGAGCAAATGCCCTAACCACTCGACTTGCTTTATTTAGTTTTTGTGATTCTCCTTGTTTCGGCTAACATAAATATTATGTAAAATGAAATGTGCATTTTATAAATAATCTTACTGCTTTGTTTTTTAAACATTTATTTTCGAATAATAAAGTAATATTATTAAAGAAATAAATACAAAATCTGTTAGAGACTTATAGTGTATTTTTCTTAGGTTTGATATGCACCAATTAATTTTATTAGACATAGTATATATAAAATACATGGTTGCTGTCTTGAAATATAAGCGATATTTGGGCGAGGGTAATAAAAAGTGAAAGAGGGCGAGGCTTGCCTTCTTACGTTTTCAACCCGAGCACAAATATCGCTTATATTTCAAGACAGTTATCGTGTATTTTGTTTATCCTGCAACATATTCTTTACATTTGAACGTCCAAAACTAGCTATTTTCAACAGATTTAGGCACACATCTCTGCAGTGGAAACTATGATGCCATGGCGTAAACATTGCAATATACATGACGTCACAATGCTTTTAGAACGTTGGAATAAACGCACGAGGCCTTATTAGGGCAGTGACTGGATAAAGCTTTGGTTTATTAGGTTACCTTTATTAGGTCAATTCAAGGGGTAGTTGCAGGATATATAAATATACAAATCCTCAGGATTCTATCAAACCTACATGTATCTTGATTTTGATAAGTGGTTCAAGTATGCAATACTTTTCTGAATGATGAAAACCACAAAACTAATACATTCTGAAACACTTTTAAAAATCTTCACTTTTTAGTCTTTCAGAAGGCATTTGTATGATGAGACAAAAGAACCCCAAAAGAACACACAAAAAAATAATTGAAAACCTTTTAATTATTAATATCCTCATAATAATACTCTCAACAAAACTAAATGTTGATAATGAACAGCCATCTGTTAATCCTGTTAATCATACAAAATGTGAACCATTAATGCATAAATTTAAAAGCATATCTCAAAACAAAAATGTGGATTCAGGTGCAAAGGAGGAGTTAGTATACAATTATTTAATGCCTGAGGAGCAATAGAACACACTGAGCTGTTTCCTGCACCTCGGGAAAAATATAATGGTCTATTGACTGCTCAGGCATTAAATAATTGTTTTATTACCTAATTTTATTTTCCGTATTAAGTGTTCACGATTGTATATATTCAGTAAATAAGGTTCCCGTACCATATTGTTAATTTTTACCTAGATATGGTGCATCTGTACTATTAATTAAAGATTGATTGTACAGACTATTGTTTACATTCCTTTCGACAATTTTTCACTCTTATGGAGATGCCAACACTTCCCGGTGGAGGGGGACCTTTTTCGTGCCAGCAGAGCACCTACTGCTACACGGGACCTCGGTTGATAGGTCTCACCCGAAGGACCAGCCTCCACATCCCATAGTGTATTAATTAAAAGTAACTCTCATTAAATAAAATATCCGACCATTGAAATCACGCTATTTTTAAAACCAATGTCGAAAGATCGAATAAGATGATTGTTTACCATGTCTGTGCAGTGTTACAAACAACTAAATTCGAAACCTGGATCTTTTTTTTCCGAAATACGTTACCGGTCAATAGAACGCGCAGTCTATTGACCGGTCAATAGAACGCGCTGTCTATTGACCGGTCAATAGATCGGTTTGAACAGATAAGGAAAACTGAAAACACATACAGAATACTGAGTAGATGAAAATATTAAATCTCTAATAAAACAACAAAATTCACTTGATTACGTAGTAACATTCCTTGTAGACTAAGAGTCATGAGCATTCTATATATATTAAAGGTAATATGGAATAACTTTCAGTAAACTATCTGCTCTTACATTTTCATTTAATCCTAATAGTTGGGTAATTAGACGTGCATTGCATACTATTCAAGATTAAAGTATAACGATGTCTTGCGTAGTGTTTTTCTATACACTTTTAGCACAATGTAGTGTACAGTGTAAATGACTTTGCTAATGACTATATTTTTGCTTTGGTTTCCTGGACCTCTCAATCTCTCGGAGAATTCTCGGATTTTCTTATTTCTTCAATAACATCCGTAACCTGAAATCATTGAAAAATAAAAAGAGTGCATATTATATATATATTTTTAATTAATTGCCAAAACTGGTAAACGTGATCATTCGCAATCGATTAACAGAAAGCATGCGAAAGAATCTTCGTTACCCATTTGTAGAACGTTCCGAGGCCTGCGCTGGAAGCTTGTATCCTCTCCTCGTCATACGGTCTGAGAATCTGAGAGGAGTGATTTACCATGTTCTCCGTCACGTTCACAGTGTCGAACAGTCGAACCCGCCTTAGCAGTCCTTCTTTACCGGTCTTACGCATCAACGCCTGTATCTGTTCCCACTCCTAATAAACAATACATGTTTTACTTACGATAAACTATATGTAATACACCTACATGGGTAGGATCTGAGTAAATAAAATGTGTATTAATGACAATTTTATTCACCTCGACACGCTTTTCCTCTTCTCCGAGAAGGATGTACGTAGCTTTCATGACGTCATAAGCCATAGGTTTTGGGTGTTTATAGTTGTGAATTTCAGATATAGTTGGCTGTTGCATTTTCAGAACCTCGTGAGCAAATCTCTTCAGCCTACGAAGCTGTGATAACAAATCCTCTGCTTCTTTAATCAGTTTCTGAAGATCGGACTCGTACTGGGACGACTTAGCATTTTCTATTGCTTCTTCTAGTTTATCTCCATGCCTCCTTGCAATTGCATCTTTTAGTTCTGGAGAGAAAAAGAAGTCATGCACATACACCCTTTTACTTTTAAATTTAAAGATATTTCCAAATTGTTATAGACTTGTTGAATTTTTTATGCTGGCACTACAATCTTACAGTACCCCATATTAACTAAAGCTGTAAATTTGTTTGTTGTATACCTTTACGCAAGCTCAAATATGTCAATCTCTCCTCTGCCTTTTGGCGATCTCCTTTGTCTTCCATATCAATCTTATCGAAGTCATCAAGAGCTTTTTTGAGAGCCTTTATATCATTGGAAGAGGTGTTATCTTGTAATGCTTTTCTTGTTCTTTTTTCAATCGCATTCTATATAAAAAAAAAAATAATAATGGCTTTAAAATAATGATACAACATTCCTCAAACTATAATCAAAATGATTATAGAAACACGCACCTCGTAGGGCTTCCTTTTTTTATTCATGTTTTCCGACGTCAAAAGGTAATTACAGACATTCTTGAATGGACCATCTGAATCTTTATCCTTTGTGTTAATCTGGAGAGCATATTCTCCTTTTTCGGGCAAATTCACATTAATGTCCAACTCTTGACCTTTTATCTTATGGTTGACATGTTTATTCAGCGTTTCTTGTTCCATATTATTGTGTATCAAGATTGTTTGGACTAGCACATTCTTTGTAATATTGAATTTCATATTGACATTTTTCGTCTGTTTTATATTGATGAAGCCAGTTTTATGAGACTGTGCTTTGAGACCAGCTTCTTCTGTAAGAGAGTTGGGACCAAATCCAGACTCTGGATTACAAGGGAAAGGTTTCACATCGTTCACATCCTCGTTACATTCAAGTCTGAATTCACATAAGCGGGAGCCGTCACCAAAGATTTGCATCTTATATATGCCTTCACTGGGAAAGCGAACACGAAATCTCATAGCAGGCCCTTCATTGAATATGGCTACGTATCTTTCTAGCTGAATTTCGGAAGAAAGAGTTGTCTTCGATTCTTCATGGTTAAAGAACAGCTTATAAGCGTAAGAACATTCCTCCTTGACTAATTTCTTTATCCCGATATCGCATACACCGCCAACCGAGGAATAGATACATTTAGTCGGGGTTGTAATTTTATAGTGATTCTGAAAATAACCTTGTCTACAATATGCAATTTCTATGAAGTCCTGTTTAGTGAATGGGCGGGTAAGAAGTTGCCACTTTGAGTCATTGGGATAACATGTATAGATGAACTCGTCTGCCTCCGTTAGGAAGAAATAGTCGTTTATATGGCTGATTGTTTGACCTGATGATTTTTCTTCTTTTTCTCTTGCCCCTTTTCCTAAATCATTCAGTCAATATCAATATTGTGGATATTTTAAGAATACATTTAACTGATTATTTCTAAAAGAAAGATTTCTTTCAAATCACTACCGATAAAAAATAAAATTAGTTTTATGAAAATTCAGTGTGATATATAAATAATCACATTCAGACATTTTAAAATCAGTTTTATACCTTGTGTTTCTACTAGCGTCCATGTTCCCTTAGAGTGACCAACCACTGCTGAGAAAGCCCAAAGCGGAAACACGAAGCGCCACCCTCCGGCTACGTGCACTGCTGTCCATGAGTTGTTAAGACTGTCAACATCTTTGTCACCAACCTCATAGGATATACTCTTCCCAAGTCCCCGAATAAGTACGCAGGGGATTTTTGCAGCCCTAAGATATTGAAGGTTAACAGATCAAATTATCACAATTACATACAAGCATTACATTTTGTACCTCTAAGCTGTATTACAAGTTTCATATCCTTGTGTTCTCTCACAACTCACCTACAAAGGCTGATGAATAAGAAATTGAACGAAAGCTTTCTTTGTATAACTTGTTGTACAATGGTCTGGGGTGAAGTGGCATCTTGACTTTGACTTTTGTCCTTTTGACTAGATTTGTCCCCCCTTGACCCCTGTGAACCAATCCAGGTGAAGATTGCCCGCACTTTTTGCACGTCATTTTTTAATCCTTCCGTCAGAGCACGTGCTATGTCCTCAAGGGTCTGATAATCCTCTACCTTTATCTAAACAATAAGATTTGTCATACACACCCCTGTACAAATAACACTTAAAGTATTTTTGGAAAACGAATTAAACATCCGTGTTTCCCATACAGAACAAGAACATGTAAAACCAACCTTTTATCTATTGGCTTCGATGAAGAGTGGGGCGGTGTTATTTGTTTGTTTAGTTTATTAAATAAATTTTTTTAATAATTTTATTGTTTAAAGATTAAAACTACCTGATTTGCCCTTGAATCCGCAGTATTTTTATCTAGTTCTGTAAATATATGCTCCTTTCTGTTGGAACTTGGTTTTGGTGGAGGGTAGCCTACTATAATGTCCTCTAAATCTACCTGTAATGTGTACAAAACGTAGATAAAAAGCGAGATGAGATGAGGGAATACATATTGAGTTAATGAAAACGTTTTCCACAAAAATGTTCTACATCTCTGATTAGAGTTAAATTTTATTTGTTTGATTTTAGAAACTTCACCCTCTGCATTACGTGTTAAGAAAACTTCATCATTGAGGCTTCCAACTATGTTTTGCACGATTTGCCGCATTTTGCATTAAAAATTGAGAGAGAAAAATAAACACGAGTATAGCAATCTCAATGACATTCGAAAAAAAAAAATACTTCTTTGAATCCATAGTCCTTTTATGTGCATGTACTCCTCCTATATGAATAACCCCCAAAATATGACTGAAACATCAACAATTTAGTCTACGAATATTACATTTATTATATCATTGTTGTCACTCAGTTGCTATGCTTTTACAAATACATGCAAGTTTCTAATAAAGGTATTTACCGAGTCGTTCTCTGGTTCTCTCAGATAATCCTCCTCCTTTTCCTTGGGTTTGCTGTCGACCCCCTTTCCTTTTGGCTTCTCGTGACTCTCCCTTCCATCGTTAGTTTTTGTAGATGTTGATCCTCCACAACCCATGTGACTGTATCCTTAGTATTCTGAGTTCTTCATAGAATAAAATACATGGAGATAACGAACAGCATTCAAGCTCAAAAGTCCACTGAACAATTCAAAATTGGAGAAGGGCAAACACGGACCTCCAATACACTTTAAAAAAGAGAGTTGTCAAACTTGAAATTAAAAAAAAATTGCTTGTACTGGATGGAACAATCGGATGTCTCCCTTTCACCGCCTACCCTCTTGTAGAGAAAAAATTGTTTACTTAAAGAAGAATTGGTTTAAATATCGAGAGGGCTCCATGTAGACACTAAAAAATCTTTTTTAATTAAAGCTTCGAAAAAATTACAATATCAAAGATAAATTTTGACGAGTGAAAAAAAATCTCACCTGGCCTGTGATGTTTACTACAGGAGAAGGCACGGTATCCAACCATCTATTGACGTAATATTTGTTTGAATCACAGAGTACAAGAACCGAATGATTATCAAGGAGAAAAAGGACTATTATTAAATAAATATTCATGACTCAAGACGTGTATTTAAGCGTGCATTCCTTGGGTATTCAGTGCTATGTTTAATTGCCTGCCTCTTCATTTCTCCCCCTCAATGTACTGTCATTGGATTTTAAATACACATTTATAGATCGCGTAATGAGTTCAATATATCATCACCTAATCAATCGTGTATTGGAAATATGATTAAAGGTAAGATTATGAACTCACCAAACCATATCATGTTTAATTTTTCTTTACTTACTTCTTTGCGTCATTTGAAATACATTATAATACCACAAGAGTAAGGTCGAATTTTTCTTAATTTAACAATTCCAAGAAACCTTGCCCACTATTTTCAAAGCATTTAGCAATTTGAATATAAACACTTTTTTTTTTTATTTTACGATTCAATGAAACCTCAACAAATATTTTTTAACGCATTTAGCAATTTAAATACCAGTATAGTTTAATCAAAATACAAATGTAAAATATTTACTTGATACTCATATTGATGAATTTATCTTTGAAAAAATTCATCAAGAAAGGCTATTTAACCTGCTTTTTAAAGACAAATATTGTAAAGATGAGTGGTCTTTGTTATTTCATGCCTGGGTATAACAAAGTAAGTGCACCCATCAATGTATCAATGATACCGACACAAATTTGACTGTTTTCTTTATTTTTAATTTTAAAAATACAATTACAAATGCATTTTATTAAGTAATCTATATTTCACCATTTGTATTTCAAGATCTTATAAGAAGTCAATTATATTAAAACTTGAGTCGATCAAGACTGATACCCTTCGTCGGGTTCTTGAATTTGATTTTCGTCTGACGGGTCAGCATTTTGGTCACTAAGCTGTTCTGATTGTCCTTGATCACTAACCACGCCTTCATCTTCATCTTCATTTTTGGACGGATGTATTTTGGCGGATGCATTTATGTTCGAATGATTTCTGGAGCGACTTTTCATAGCGGATGTATTTATGTTCGAATGATTTCTGGAACGACTCTTAGGGGCATGATGTCGAGAATCACTATGGTCAGATGTCGTAAAATCAGAAACTATGTTGCTGGCCTGAAAGTTTTAAAATGAAGGTAGGAGTTTCTCAAGTGGGAATTGTAAATTTAAATCAGTGATTGTTGTTTAACATTTAAATCGAATTAAAGATAGCTTAAATCATGATAGTATCATTGAGAAAAGATTTCTTTAATATGTACCCAAACATAAAATGTTCCACATCCGGCGCTGGTCGCATGCGCCATATCCTCGTCATATGGATTCAGAAACTGCGAAGCCAGATTGGCCGAGTTCTCTTCTACGTGGACCTTGTCGAATTTCTTTATCCTGTTCATAAGAGATTCTTTTCCGGTCCTCCTCATCAAATACTGGACATCTCTCCAATCCTTTAATATTCAGATTTAACAAACATATTTTATTAAGGTGTTAGAAAAAAGTTCGAAAATCCCCTTTATTGATTAAAAAAGGTTAACTTCCCCCTCACAATTTCATAACAATCAACTCATTAATATATCCATCCCCTGTTTTTATAATAAGTTACCTTAATCACCTGTCCACCCAATATTTTATATAAAGCAACTTTGCCTTCCAGTCTGACTAGCCCTTGTTTTAGAAATTTAACTGTCTTATCCACCACCCCTTCTTTTATAACAATCAACTCTTCCTGCCCATATACCCAATCCCTTTTTCATAACAATCAACTCCTCTATCCAACCAACCCCGTTTCATAAAATTCAACTCCTTTCTTCCCATCCACACATTCCCTGTTTCATAACACTTAACGGAGAGTTAGGGAGACTACCCACCCAACCAATCCCTGTTTTATAACAATCAACTGATACCTCCAGCATTTCTTTTCGTTCTCCAAGTAGTGTAAACACGGCTTTCATCACGTCGTGAACGATGGGTTTTGGAGTCTGGTAGTTACGCAATTCTGTAACGGTTACCAGGTTCATTTCCAGAATCTCGTGGGCGTACCTCTTCGTCTTCTGTAGATCCGCCAACACATCTTCAGCTTTCTGGATTAAGGACTGTAGTTTGTGTTCAAATTTTGAAGATTTTGCCTGATGGAGGTTTTCTTCCAGAGCTTCAACATTCCTTCTGTTAACACTGTCTCTTAGTCCTGTTATATTCAGAGACAAGGTCTTCTAATTCATATTACCTAAATGTGTTATCTTTCTGTTTAATTTGTTGTGTAGATTATATGAACATGTGCATTGGTTGCTTTGGGGTTTTTTTTTTCTTCAAATATCTCTTGCGTTTAAAAAATTTCAAATGATGCAATAAACAGGACTGAACAATTTAAGTATCAGCACAGGACATTTCCCCATAAAGTTGATTAAGAGACAGAAACTTCTATAATAAATACCAGTTTAAGAAACGAAAGTTTTCTTTTGTTTGTTCATTTTATTGCTTATTTTACTTTAAGATTAAGACTACTAGTATTTATTGTAATTGTGCAAGTGGTGATAAATTTAGAATTGACATTGGTTTAGACAAGCACCTGCATAAAATTATATACATGTATATTTTTAACATGCATTTAAAATGGGCGGGAGCAACAAATGTTTTAGTAGTATTCCGTGACTATAGTCTATATTTAATCAACAAACCTTTTGATAGCTTGAGATATTCAATCTTGTCCTGGGCTTTCTTTAATTCCCCTTTATCGTCCAGATCAAATTTGGCAAATTGATCTATAGCACGCTTGATAACTACCGGATCTTTCGACCGAAGCGACACCTTTAGTTCAACCCTCGCTTTTTTCTCTGACGCAGTCTGTCATGGTACATGATATTACGTGTTAAGTTAAATACAATTTGTAACCAAAACATAAAACAGAGAGAGAGAGAGAGAGTGAGAGATACACTTAAATAAATTCCTTAGATCTAATGCTCATCACAAACCTATTTGATTTGATTTCAGTTAATAATTACCTCGTAGGTTCGATGTTTTCTTTCCCCATCTTGTGCTTCCAGTAAATAGTTACAAACATTTTGGAATTCTTTGTCTTCATTCCCCTTCGTGTTAATCTGCAAACCAAACTCCCCTTTCTGTGGTATCGCCAACCCAATGCATAGTTGATTCCCTACCACCCTTGTAGAGACGAAATTCTTTAACTGGTGACTATCCATACTGTAATGACTTTGTACTTGCACATATTTTGTCATTATAAACTTTATTTCCGTTTCCCGTTTGCTGTGAAAGCTTATAACACTATCATGATGTGTTTCAGCCTTCAGTCCTGCGAGTTCAGTTTTAAAATTTGGCCCAAACCCAACATCCGGGTTACATGGAAAAGGTTTAATGTCCATCCTGGCATTTTTGCATATGAGTTTGAATGAACACAACCAGGACATTGCATCCCCTTTCAAAATCCCGTGAACGTCAATTTTATAAACTCCAGGACTAGGAAATCGAATCTTGAAAGCCACTTTACCATTCTGGTTCAGTACAGCGACGTATTTATCTAACTGAACTTCCGAGGAAATTGGGGAGTTCGACTCTTCGTCATTATAGAATAATTCATACGTCATCATTATGTCTTCTATGATGGAACTCTTTAAGCATATGTTACACAGCCCGTCTTCAGAAATGAGAACACACTTGGGTTTACTTACAACCTTTGCCTTATACTCAAAGAAAGACGGTCGGCAGTATGGCATCTCTACAAATTCATCTTTTGAGATAGGTTTTCTCAGTAGCTGCCACTCGGGGTTGTCCGGGAAACACCGGTATACGAACTCTTCTGCGTCAGGGAGGAAGTAATAATCATTAAGTGTACTGACGCTCTCTCCTGTGGAAGCTGGCATCTTCTCACGAACCCCTTTACCTTTTAAATAAAACAGCAAATGTACAAACATATAAAGTTTACTATAGTTTGTAAACGATATAGTTTTCAATAAAAACATGTTAGCTTAAAAGTAGGCAAATCGTATACATCTACACAACGTTCATAATATTTACAGTTAAATACTTTATAAATACTAGTATTCGGTTTATAGGGCTAAGAAACAAGATGTAAAAATGTTTTTATGAGAGAGAGAGAGAAAGAGAATGAGAAAAAAAGGAAAGAAAGACCGACCTTTTGCTTCCACAAGAGTCCATTTCCCTGTGCTATGCCCAACCACTACCTTACACGCCCACAACGGAAATACGAAGCGCCATCCACCATTGATGTAGACTGCATTCCACATGTTGCGGAGGTTTTCCAGTTCTGTCTGGCCGACTTCATATCCAGCGCTCTTAGCGAACCCATGAATAATGGCACAAGGAATTTTCGCTGCTCTAAAATTGGAGAAAAGAGCTCTAGATCTGTATAACGAATCAACTGCTTCCAAACCTAGAATCGACGTATTAAAATAATCTTCATATTTACCGACAAAGAAGAGTGAAAAGCGTGGTATATGATGATTTTCCCTCTTTCATGCGCTTCAGAATCTGCATCGGGGAGTTAAGAATCACATTTTCAGGAAATTTTATTTCTTGAACATTCTGTCCGATGACCCAGGAGAATATTGCGCGTACTTGCTGGACGTCACGTGACATTCCTTTCGTTAGCAACGCCGCAAGATCTTCAAACGTATTAGCATCCTCGGGTTTAATCTGAAAGAAAACGCTGATATGAAGTCGATGTTGAATTTCAAACTGAATACTACGACAGCAAAGTAATAACCAAAAAACCTTTCTCACATGATATTTTAAAAATAAATTACCTTTCTGGCTCTCTTATCTCCCTCGGCAATATCAGCTGCTCTTAAGATGTCCGACTTCCGGTTTGAGGCTGGTTTTGGAGGAGGATAACCATCTTGTACAACAGGTATGTCATTCTGATACAATCCACAAAAATATTAATAACATGTATTTTAAAAATAATCGGTTAATCTTACGGAACAATTCTGCAATGAAAAGTAGATTTATTTGTACTAAGTCCATGTTTAATTAAAGTACTTTGTTGTGCTGGTTATCAATGCTGAAGATGTTTATGGACAAACTAAGCATGCTAATATTGTTTCCACTAGGTCTATGTTAAAAAATGAAATCTTTTAATGAGTATATTCTTATGTCAAAATACAGGTAAAAGTGTATTGACCTTATTTCTGAAAGAAACTTTAATTAAAATATAAACATATAAACAAATAAATTAACATGTACACATGTACCATGGTTGTAATCTCAATGAATATGTATTGTATTCTTACCTTATATTATGTTTAATAAGGACCAAATTGAACACCGATATATATAATTAAACAAATTATCAAATTAAATCTAATACATGTGCCATTTAAAGAATCACTTATTTTATTATTAATGGCCCTACCTGCATTATACAAGGTATATTGAAATATTTAATGTATCCCTCCTTTGATAAGACTTTACAAAAAATTACTTTAGCTACAGAAATATGAAGATCAACACTAGTCCATTCTTCCTGTAAAAACACACCTACTATCTATAGCTAGTACTTTGATCCACCCTAACATTTTCCTACCGGAACTTACCACATCCTCTGTGTTTTCTTGGAGGATGTCGATGTAGTCAGGAATGTCGAGCTTTTCCTCCACCTCCTCCCCCTCTCCTTGTGGGGGTCCCAGAGACTGGGGACCTTGTTCAGACGTCTTCCGTGGGGACGACCCATCCACACTTTCCGTGGGCCCATGGGGCTTTGATTCCTCTGGAGTCGTGTTTTGTTTTGCTGGTTTACTCGCGCCGCCTCCCATAGTGCATAAATTTTTACACTTTAAATTAATAATAAACAGTGGGACGGACAACTTCGGAATGGACATTTTTCCGAACTTGCGCACCCTTTTCCTTTAAAGCTAACATCTTAGGTTTTTTTTTAAATGGTGGGGTTTTTATAATCAAATTGATTTATGAAAAAAAAAATTCAACATTTTCTGCTACTTTTTGAGATATTTGAGTTCAAAACAAAAAATCCCATGGGGAAACATGAACTTAAAAATACCCCACAAAAAACCCCACAAAAACCCCATGGGGTTTATTTTTCACCCCATGGGGTTAAATAACCCATATTATTTTTCATGGGGTTCTTTAACCCACGTCTCACTAAAAATAAAATGTGGGGTTTATTATCCCATAATTTTTTATGTGGGGTAAAAAAACCCACATTATTTCTCTTAATGCTTGTAATCATGGTAAATTATCAAGTAAGAATTATAAAATAAATATTGTTTGGAGTTGTGTACATTTTTTATCAACTTTGTAACAATTTAATTAATTAAATTTTTTTTTCAAATTCATTGATATAGTATATTATAATACCTTTTATCACTGCAATTGTAAATTAGACATGGCATAAGCATGATAAGAAGAGAAATAAATTATATATTTTTTTTGACTGACCCGTAAGTGAAAAAGTAAACAAATACGGATTAAAAGTTTGAAAGTTTATCTAATATTCCAAGTGGGAGAGAGTTAAATATAAAAAAGACACTGGAGGCAGTACAGGCAATTTTATCAGAAAAACAATGTAAAAAATAACGTGACTTTGTTTACGCTAGCGTAGCTCACAGGTTATTGTTTTCACTATTTTACTGATAAAACTTCCGACTCCTCAGTCCTGTAACCTGTTGATCGTGAATCACATAGTAATGATACACTTGTTCTACTTACATGTAGTTTAGTTTGAGCTCTGCTGTTTGTAGCATAATGGACTTGATTCAAACAAAGACAAAAACTTTTCTACTATTCAAAGAATGTTTTTGAAATTGATTGAAAGAGACCAAATCAAATCATAACTTGTGATACTTCTTTACTTGAATTCCTCATTTTGGCACCATTTTCACCCACATCTTTTTCTTTTCCTATGTATAAGTCGTACTCTGAGAAACATATGGGTGACTCTGACAAATAGCGTAAAATTCAAAGATTAAACTGTTAAATTTATCCGGAATTTGTTTTTCCGCTATATTGACAAAAGGTAAGTATATTATACTTATAGATGTTTATGTCCACTGGCCCTGATTTGGGAATAAATCCCATTATATTCCATTCTAAATAATCTGTAAATGTAGTAGCTTCTCAATCCTAAACCAGAAAAATGCTTTCTTTAAAGTAATTAAAAAACCAGTTCGTCTTCTTTCATCTCTTTTTTATGATTTAATTATAAAAGTGTTATATTGCATATAACATGCAAATAGGACCAATTATTACCTGATTATATGTTTGAATGATCATTACATTAATCATGAAAAAGTACAGATTTTAAAATTGTGGTAATTTCCTTAAATATTTCAAAAAAAATATATAAACAAATACTTTGATAAAGTTAGAATTACTAAATACAAGAAATTTATTCCAAATTGGCTAAATATCATTGAAAAGTATAAAAAAAAAAAAAAAAAAAGATATGGTCATCTAAAGACAGAGAATTTTTACCAGGTAGTATTTTTAATCAAGGTGAGGGAGGGGCTAATTTTATACAGGTGTGAATACCTTGGAGCTAGCAGTCTACCTGAATGGATACACAGTGGAATACCCTAGGTGTCAAACTTTACCTGTGTTAGGGATTTTGATACTTTTAAAATAAGTAGTAAAAAGTATTAAAATATTGAATTATTTTTTAAGGTTTAAAAACACCCCTATCCATTAAAAAAAAAAAATATCATATCATACTATAAACTGCCTTTATGAGAACTCACCAGTATATATGACTGTTTGAGGATAATCTTCCTAGGAAATTTTCAGTCCTTATATTGCAATTTATAATTTTTGATTTAGAAAGTTCATGCTTTTACAAGAAAAATAAAACAATACTAATGCCAAATTTCATTGAAAAGGAAAAACTTATGACCATTTAAGAGTCAACACACTGGTACGATCGACTGAATATAACCTGGTGATGGATTCTCCCCATGTACATTTCAGTTTTCTTACAAATCATCATGTAAGATTTAGAAAGATTATGCCATTGCAAGAAAAATAAAACCATACTTGCCAAGTTTCATTGAAAAATAAGAAAGTTAGATGGCCAGTTTAGAGAACACACCTGTACGATTGACTGAATATGACATGATGATGGATTCTCCCCATGTAAATTTCAGTTCTTTTACAAATAATCATGTAAGATTTAGAAAGTTTATGCCATTGCAAGAAAAATAAAACCATACTTGCCAAATTTCATTGAAAAATAAGAAAGTTAGATGGCCAGTTTAGAGAACACTCCTGTACGATTGACTGAATATGACATGATGATGGATTCTCCCCATGTAAATTTCAGTTCTTTTACAAATTATCATGTAAGATCTAGAAAGTTTATGCCATTGCAAGAAAAATAAAACCATACTTGCCAAATTTCATTGAAATATGAAAAAGTTATGGCCAGTTAACAGAACATACTAGTATGATTGACTGTGTATAACATGATGATGGATTCTTCCTATATAAATTGATGTTCTCTTAGTTTTACAATTTATCATTTTAGATTAAGAAAGACCATACTTTTACAAGAAAAATAAAACCATTCTTGCCAAATTTCATAAAATATGAAAAAGTTATGGCCAGTTAAGAGAACACACTAGTACGATTGACTGAATATGACATGATGATGGATTCTCCCCATGTAAATTTCAGTTCTTTTACAAATTATCATGTAAGATTTAGAAAGTTTATGCCATTGCAAGAAAAATAAAACCATACTTGCCAAATTTCATTGAAAAATAAGAAAGTTAAATGGCTAGTTAAGAGAACACACCTGTACGATTGACTGAATATGACATGATGATGGATTCTCCCCATGTAAATTTCAGTTCTTTTACAACTTATCATGTAAGATCTAGAAAGTTTATGCCATTGCAAGAAAAATAAAACCATACTTGCCAAATTTCATTGAAATATGAAAAAGTTATGGCCAGTTAACAGAACACACTAGTATGATTGACTGTGTATAACATGATGATGGATTCTTCCTATATAAATTGATATTCTCTTTTAGTTTTACAATTTATCATTTTAGATTAAGAAAGGCCATACTTTTACAAGAAAAATAAAACCATACTTGCCAAATTTCATTGAAATATGAAAAAGTTATGGCCAGTTAAGGGAACACACTAGTACGATTGACTGTGTAAAACATGATGATGGATTCTCCCTATATAAATTTATGTTCTCTTTTAGTTTTACAATTTATCATTTTAGATTAAGAAAGACCATACTTTTACAAGAAAAATAAAACCATACTTGCCAAATTTCATTGAAAAATAAGAAAGTTAAATGGCCAGTTAAGAGAACACACTAGTACGATTGACTGAGTATAACATGATGATGGATTCTCCCTATGTAAATTTCAGTCCTCTTACAATTTATAATTTTAAGTCTCGATCAACTCTGTTTTAAGTGGTTATAATCTGCACCAGTAAGAACATTTTAATAGAAAAGGTCATATATTTTATGTAGGCATTCACAAATTAATTTGGTAAAATTAAAAAGAAATGTTGGAAAAGTATTCCATGAAGATACAGTACATTTTAATCTGTTTAATAAGAAATATATGAAGAAGTTGAATAATACATGTATGAATTCTTATTTTAATATGAAAATAAGTTGCAACCGATTTTGAATGAGCAAACCATGAAGCCTTACGTCAGAGACATTTATTAGTATTTGGAAATTTATCAATATGTCATCGACTGTTTTCAATGGCAATAACACAATAATTATCAATTGGTAGAATTACAAAAAAAAATTTTATTTTTTATTTTTTATTTATTTATTTATTTATTTTGTATTTTCATCAATGAACACTTTGAAATGTGCTTTTTACTAGGACAACTTAAAAACAAAATTTAGATTAGCTAGTTACTCTGAAACCAGTTATGTATACACAAATGCAGGATATAGTAAACAGGAAATGGCTCGTGTAATGATCAGTCTGTGTGGAAATATATTCTTGAATATATGTATATACCGGGTATATCATCATATAGACTGAAACTCTGAAAGGTGTGAGAATATTCCTTCAGGCAAAATTCTCCAATATATTTTCAAAGGTGTGAAATAGGGATAAGTCACTGATTTCAATTTAATTGATCTTTTACAAATTTATACAGATTTTCAGAATTAATAAATTGAAAATCAATCTGCACTTCATCCCTTTTATGACAACACTAATCAAAGGGTTTTAATTAAGACTGTTTTTCATGATTCATCACTCCAATTAAAATCATCATAATTTAATAATTAGGTACATTGCATGCCAGTACTCAGTGGTCATTAAATAATACATGGCTTCCTCTCTCTCTCTCTTTCTCTCTCTCTTGACTGTATAAAATTATTGCACCCACAGTAAGGTTTTTTTTGTTTTTTTTTTTCATTTTTTCCCCCCAGAAAATTTCAATTTTAGCTGTTGACAGGATAATTGGAATAAAAAACCATGCACAGAGAGAGATAGAGAGAGAGAGAGGATATAAAACAATATCAAAAAAATTCTGTTAGTTGTATATCAACACTTGAGGGGAAATTTGGAATAGCATGTTAAATATAAAGCATTCTGAAATAATCAGACCGTTGAATTTTTTTTTTTTTTTTGGTTTACCAAATAACGATGAAATGCATAAGGAATATTTTTTAAGCTTTCCGTTAATACTATAATTGGTGTTGATGTACATGGTTAAGGTTGTGCAGTTCTTAAGATTTAAATATATATGTAGTAAAAATCACTTGAATACGTTAAATATATATGTAGTAAAAATCACTTGAATAC